GTGCCAGCTGCATTATAAATGTGGAACATTTCAAACAATCCTTGGTGGATAACCCATCTCCTCTCATATCCAGATCACTCAAACAGCCTGTTATTTCTGTCTCCAGCATTGTGATTGTGAGACCATGATTAATAGTAATCATGGGGAAAACAACCGCCATAATTTTTTGTTATATGTCATATTCTGTCAGATTCCAGTGAAAAAGAGCTTGGTTTGTTACACAACTTGAAAAATGAAAGAATGGGTTTGATAGCCATAGGCATAACTGAAAAGGAAATCAGTCAGCTGAAACATGAATCTTCATTGCTCTGAAATAAAGTAAACAATGTACTGTTTATGGGATGGATCAGTGTTCTGAGGTGGTACAGAGAAGCCACTTTCTAGATGGCTGGCTGGGGTGTTCAGCTCAAATGCTCAGGGTCAAACTGATTGCCAATTTTTCCCCAACATCCGAGTGGGATGGATCTTGAGATATTTTCTCCTTCCTCTGCAGCATGGGATGTGGTTTGCCTGCTAGGATCATCTCACCAACCAATTCCCTGCCATTGCAGGGGCCTCTAACATTGGTGGCACCTCAGTCTCTTCTGTTCTTTCCCAGTGGCACACAACAGATTAAATTCCTGAGGATTTGAAATGCTGAAGCCACTGGGCTCAATATAAGGGTATCTGGATGAAATTTAATGGTATCTGATATGCAGGTGATCAAGCTACATGATCTCATGGTACCTTGTGGTCTTAAACTCTATGAAACTATGACTCTATGAAGGCTTAAGATACTTTTATATCTAGTTCACATAAAATGTAAAGATGAGTTACCTCTCTGTGTACTTTCCTGGACCTATCACTGTAGTGTATGAGTGTCTAGTATAGGAAAGCTATTACTACGTGATTAACCACAGTTTCAAATCATTTATACTTAAATTTGAACAGGAGCATTTCAGCTCATTTAATCCATCCACCTGTATTATTGAGTGATAGTGGGAGGCAATGCTAGTAATCTTAGGTTTTTATAGCAGCTACACTATTAGATTCCATGAATTCACATATCAGGTTATTCCATTGTCTACTTAACCTCAAGGTTTCAATATGACCGATACTTCATCTGGTAGTTGTTTAACTCAGCCTGTGCTCTCAGTTATACTGGTGAAGATCCACAGTAACTCATTTGACTTTAGTAGAATTACTTTAGATTTGCCCCAGTGCAACTGAAAGCAGAATTTTGTGCTCAGTTTGCAGAGACTGCTGTTAAAATCATACATATATGTGGCTTGATATATTTGTTCACTGGCAAAATTCTGCTGTTATATGTATTCATGTAAATCAGGAATAACTCCACTGAGAGGATAATCTGGTCCTTTATTTGTAATAATTGTAGTATCTACATGACATTTTCCTTGTGAAATGGCATGTCAGAGATACTAGTTTTATGATAAAGAATGTTTATTGCATAGTTTCCTCTGTAGCTTCCCAGTTTAAAATTACAACAGTAGTTGTAAGCAGTAGTCACCGACCGGTAGATCGAGATCAACAGGTCAATCGCGGAGTCTCTGCCAGTCGATTGCAATCTCCAGCTGCTAAAACTCTGGCAGTGCAGTAAGGCTAAGGCAGGCTCCTGCCTGCCCTGGCCCCGTGCCACTCCTGAAAGCAGGTGGCACATTCCTGCATGTGGGGAGACCAGGGGGATCTCCACGCACTGCTTCTGCCTGCAGATTAGACCAGATTTTCTTTCTGGATTATACTCCCTGTGCACCACTTCAATGGCAAAACTGCCATAATGCCCAACAGAGCATTCCCCTGGTAAAGAGAACTCTGCTTGTACATCTGCACTGCCTCGCCTCTTCCTGGCATAGAGGATGTGTTGCGGGGGAGGGAGCGGTGGAGCTCTGCCACAACCATTCTCCACTGCCAGAAGTTTCATTAAAGGACCTTAAACTACTGATGGATCTTAGAGGAGGCTGGCTGCTGCTCTAAATCTCATCAGGGCTGGGATTGGGCTCAGGATCAGGGAGCTCCCTGATGCCCTCCTCCTCCCTCAGAGGAGTGCTCTGGTGCAGGCGAGAATCTACCCTTGCATGTTAAATGCAGAGCTCTGGTACTGTTTGGGAGCACTGTCCAGCACATTTCCACATTTCCTAGGTTTGAAATCAAATATTTTAATTACTTGCTGTTTTTGCAAAGCATGCAGGGAGCTTTGAGACTGCCCCATTGCCTTCATCATCTTCCCTCTAAGCCAGTTGCGCTAAAGCACTACTCTACAGCCATTAGTGACAAATACAGCCTCTTTCGATGCCATCATTAGTTCTCCTTGACAAGTCAGTTGGTAAAGGGTAAGGAAAACAGAGGTTCCCTTTTCCTGACTTAGAGCAAAGATATCACCTCTGTAACGCAGCTGATCTCAACTAGAAATGGGAACTCTAAGGAATTATACCAAATCCAGCTCTTTTAATTGACAACACAATGGGCTGTATCCTCAGGTGCAGTGTGGCTGCTTTGCACTGCACTGCATTTTGTGTCTGCAAAAGTTTTCTGACCAGCAAAGTGAGAATCATGTCAGTGCAAAGGTGATTCTGTTGGATGATTCTAATGACAGACCATCATAGAGGTTTGGACACCGTACACCCTCCCTGCAACATGCACAACAGGGAAAGGAGGATAGATTGGCTGGGATGTAATTGTGCCACACTGACTCTTAGCTATGTTTACATCCCCTTGTGACTGTGACAAGCCAGTATATATTACAGTACCTCTCAGGCTTCTCTAATGAAGCACAATGAGGAAGTCATGCAAAAAGCAGCACCAGATTCCAGGGTAGTGCATGTGGAAGCTTTACACCATCTTTGGAGACCATACTCTGATTTGTATTCTCTGCATTTTGACCCTAGTTATGGTCTGCCCCACAGTTCTTGGACTCTGCCACTGCAGTGTGGAAAGATGCAGACAGAAAAGTAGAACTTAACCTTAATTGTTTTCACCAAAGAAATGGAATTTCCTTGCATAGATTCCAAAATACCTGGGACCATTCTCCCCAAAGAAATTATTTACAGGTTAACCTAGCTGCGATGTTAGTAATAATGTTATCACCCTCAAGATCTGACCTTAACTGGAATGAAAAAGGATGTCAAATGCAATGTACTTAAATGTCTATCTTATACATTCCTGAGTAAACATTTAAGTGTTACATCTCTGCCATATAAATTGTTTCATTTAATCTTCTGGTTTTTAGCTCAAGGAGAGACAACTTTAATCCACTTTGAGCTGACAGATGAAAGTTCCCTTTACAAAATATGTAGGTCATGACATTTCAACTGAATTTATATTGTAGCATTTGTAAACTGTGGACAGCTGGAGGTTTACTTGTGAGTTAGTGAACTCGTTGAACAGTTCAGAATCTATTTCTTTGGCAGTAGTGATAGTAAATCTTTTAAATTCTACAGACACAACTACAGCAGATTTGAGGGATCCTATTACTTAAATGTGTCAGGTTGGCCTTTAATTATGTTGAAAAATGAAAATCTTAGGTACACTGTTATATCCTCATCCCCTTCCAGGAAATAATTCAGTCTAAAGTGTTCTTTTTGTGTACTCCTTTTAAGGATGAGTCCTGAAATTGACTTCTTCCAGTACCATCATTTATTAAAATCCCCCATCACAGCAGTTAAAGGATGTGGTTGTAACTGTGCCTTTGTGGGTCACAACCGAGAATACCAAGTTCAGGACAAACTGCTGAGAAATAGGGCAGACACACCCCAAAACTGGTGGTTATTCTCCCATAAGATATACCAAACCAGCAACAAAAGTAAACTTCTGTTTCACCACACTGGCTAACAAGAAGTCAGAAAAGCTGTCTCCTTTAGGCATTCCAGTCCTTATATCGCCACAAAAAACACTAGACTTACTGATGAGTGGTTATTTAAAAACAATTTCATCAAACAAAAGGCTTCTTCTGATCCCAAAGGACCAGCCACATACCCAGGGCAATATATAACTCAGATCTTACCCAATAATCATACTGTTGCCAATCCTTTAGTATCTAAAATCTAAAGGTTTATTTATAAAAAGAAAGAAAGGTGAGAGTTAAAATTGGTTAAAGGAATCAAATACATGCAAAGTTCTCGGATCAGGCTTGTAGCAGTGATGAAATAAACTGCTGGCATGTTAAGTTTCTGGTTGTTTCCAAATACTTGGAAGGTCCTCAGTCCCTTGGTTAGAATGCTCCCATTAGTATAAATCCATATAGTCCAGAGTTTGAGCAGGAAAGAGGCAAAATGGAGCCGTTCCCAGGGCTTTTTTTAGCTTCCGCCATATGGAGGGAATCCCATTGTTCTCACTGTTGAAAATTATAGGTAACAAGATGGTGTGTGGAGTCACATGGGCAAGTCACATGTCCATGCAAGATATGGCTTAGTCATCGCAGAAGCCATTACCCATACTCCAGCTAGAAAGTTCAGAGGAAAGTCCATTAAGTGTAGACAGGCGTCTTCCATTGTGTTCTTTGATGGGCCATTTAACTTGAATAGTCCCTTCAAGATGTGCAGCCTAAATACCTTGTGGATGTTAACCACAGGAGCAAACATTTGAAATCCAGGTATAGAGTCAATACTCAGAACTTCAAATACAAACATGATACATGCATAGAGATAGCATAATCATATTCAGCAAATCATAACTTTTCTATTGATACCTTACTTGACATACTTTGTGTAAGATTTGTTGCAATTATATAACAGTGGTAGCAACAATGATCTACATGGTCATATTTTAATCAGATAATGACATAGTGGTAACCAAAGTTTAATGACTCATAACTGCAGTTGTGGACTGTACAGAGCACTGCTTGAATAAACTGCAGATTCAAAGTGCTTTTTCCTCCTGCTTGTAGCATTATATGACTTTTAAAAAGCAGCTTTAACTTTATTTATTTATTACTTTAAGGACAACTATATAAACTTCCTAATTCATTTTATTTTTCCATAATATTGTTCTGTTACCTGTTTTTGCAGGTACTTGGCTCTTGTCCAACCATTTCGCCTCACTAGCCTGAGAACAAGATCAAAGACTATTCGCGTTAATTTATGCCTGTGGGCAGCTTCACTGATCCTGGTGTTTCCTGTCTGGGTCTACTCAAAAGTAATCAAATTCAAAGATGGCTTGGAGAGTTGTGCTTTCGATCTAACATCACCTGATGATGTACTTTGGTAAGGTTCTAAAACTACACGTGCCAGGCCCTCAGTTGGTGAAAGAGTAGCTCCACTCACTTCAGTTCTGATTCACACCGGCTGAGGTCCAGGCCCATTTTGTCTGCAGCATTCCTGTCCCTGCTATGAGGGAACAGAAGAATGAGCTGAACTTTGGTCTCCTGCTTGGCAGTTCAGAGTGCTATCTCCACTAAAGTAGTCCTAGATATTATTATTAATATTGATGGCCTCAGCACAACTGAATGCGATGGAGCTCCACTGATGTGCAGCAGCTGAGGATATGGCCTGGAGTGCTTAGTCTCTGGCTGGAATTAGGTACCTTCTTTTCCACATAGAGATCCCTCAGTGCACTGTCTGTCCAGACTGGCTATGCTCATTTGAGGCTATGGCCCGTGAAAAAATTAACCTACATTCTCCAAAACACACACATGGCCCTCCAGTGTCTGGCTGTGCCCAGATTCCTGCCTTATTTATAGAATTGTCATTTTGGGGGGGGGGGGGGGAATAAAAGAAGGTGGTTTGGATTTTCAGATGTGCTTGGCATTAATAATAGTTCTAGGAACTAATGATACTAGAAATCAATGGAAATGTTACCATTGACTTCAATGACAGCCGAGTTAGGTCAACCCTGAGCACTTTTGAAAATGATGATGCTCTACTGAGTTCATATTTGTATGTTTCATGTTCTTTCAGAATGATGCCCAAAATACATGACCCTCTAACTGTACACTATGTATCTTGTCCTATAATTAAATCACAGCCAAAATGTTCAAAAGAGGCCTCGGGTTTTGTGTGCCTCTGTTTTTGAGGGCCTAGCTTGAGTGTTTTGGGAGTTTATTCTCAGAAGTGCTGAACACTCTCAACTCCCCTTGACTTCAATTGTGGTTCCAAAAGTGAGGTCCCAGGACACCCAAAATCAGAGGCCACTTTCTGAAAAATGTTGTCTATATTTTTTTTTCCATTTCTGAGGTTATTTATATGCATTATGTAAACATGCTGTCTGTTATCTCTGCATTTTGTTTTCCAGGTACACGCTTTATCTGACTATCACAACTTTCTTTTTTCCATTACCACTGATATTCATTTGCTATATATTGATTTTATGTTACACGTGGGAGATGTATCAGCAAAACAAGAAAGCAGGATGGTAACGTATGTTATATTCCAGATATGCAACTAGGGGTGGGAAGAACTTGTTTGCAGTGGGCCAGGTCCTGAAAGGCGCTGTATACCCTTCACTCCCATGATGTCAGTGGGAGTTGAGGGTACTCAGCACCTCAAACCAGATACACAGTGCCTTGTAGTCTCAGGCCCATAATTAGGTTTGGTTTGGTGGACAAACACTTTCTCAGATACGAATGCTGTCTCATGAAGCTATGTGACAGAATTATTAATAGAAACTCTTTCAAAACATAATGAATTAAGGCTCATACATACATAGAGTTTAAACCCCTAAAGGCCTTAGATCATTTTGTCTTTATCTATTATATACTTCCTTTCTAACACAGGCCATTATATTTCACCCAATTACCTCTGGAATTGTTACCCTGCTACTCCCGTACTGAGCTGTGTCAGTATTTCCATTGCAAACCCCTATTTCAGGGGCTTATAACATAACCTAAAAGAAATAGGTTCCTGGCTGCAATTGTGCATACAGGTTTTTATCTCAAAAAGGAATTGTTTCTCCAGACTTTGATGGGAAATTGGTGTGGTTTTGTCTTTTGGTTGAAGCAGGTTTTTTTTAAAAAATGTAATGATTTCAAGTGCTGACTGAGTTAGAACTCTTGATAGAGAGGACCAAATTCTTGATTAGAGATAGCTGAAAATTTGGGGGTGGAGGGAAATAGGAAGTTCAGAAAATTTAAATGAAAATAAAAAAAATTCTAAAATTTTCCATGGAAAATTTATTTTTTTGGCAGAAATTCAAATATTTTAAAAAAAAGTTGGTCAAAAACTGAAATATTTTGACCAAGACATTTCCATTTGGAAATGCTGTGGGTGTCTTACGGGAGTAGTAGCTCAGGTTTCTCAAGTTCCCATTCTCCTTTATGGGCCAGGCAACCTGGTCAAACTACATCTCCCAAAATGCACCATGATCTTCTCTCTTAGAGAGAAGAGGTGGTGTATCATGAGAATCCTTGGTCATGATGCAGGATGGAAGATGTAGTCTGGCCAAGGAGCCAGCCCATAGAAGAGAAGGGGGATAGGAGACAACCAAACTACAATACCCATGAGGCTTTGCAGCAGCATTGCCAAAGCAATATATTTTGGTTTTTGGACAAAATATTACAATTTTGGGGCATTCTGTTTTTCAAATTTTCCATAGAAAGCAGATGCTTTTAATGAAAAATGTGTTTAGTCAAAAACACAATTGTACATTAAAAAGAAGCAATTTCAACAGAAAATCTTCAACCAGCCCTAGTCATATCTCTCCTCAAGATCCCTTGTGTACATGGTGGGCACCACCATCTATTGCAAAGGATTCTTCCTCCCTATCCCTCTCCACTCCATTTGTCGTGTCTTGCACTCCAGCGGCTGCAGAGAGGGAACAGTGTGCATAAGTTTTTCCAAAATAGCCAACACCTGCGTAGTAGAGGGAAGTTTCCTTGCATCATTCCTATCAACCCTTTAGGACCACATAAGGGCCAGCCATGATCTTCTGCCCTGTATTTTTCCCCAGTTAAAACAATGCAGTCAGAAGTGTGGGCCCCAATCTGCACAGTTCCAACGCTGGAAGGGGCAGATATTTGTTCACAATATTCTGAATGATAGCAAATTGTCATCAACCAGACCTATTAAAAAAAAAAAACTTCTCAGTCCCACCTATACTAATGAACCCATAAGACCATATTGAGCCCTGACAGAAGCAAACACAACACAACAAATAAAAATGAAGTCCTTGGGAGTTGTGTCTGCTTCTGTCCGGACTAAATTTTGCCCAAAATACACTGTCTTCACTGATCTGTGCTTTCCTTTATATTATCTTCATTTAACAGTTACCAATCTTCACATTTATGTTGCAGTTACAATACCAGTATCCCAAGACGAAGGGTCATGAGATTGACCAAGATGGTGCTGGTGCTGGTCGGTGTATTTGTTGTAAGTGCTGCTCCATACCACGTGATACAGCTAGTGAATCTTCAGATTTCTCAGCCATCACTGACATTCTATGTGAGCTATTACTTCTCCATCTGCCTCAGCTACGCCAGCAGCGGCATTAACCCTTTCCTTTACATACTACTTAGCGGGAACTTTCGGAAGCGTCTGACTCGGTGCACAAATGTCAAGCTCAAGATGACAGAACGTGAAGTTAACAACATTGAAAACACACTGGGGTCAAGCTTTTAAAAGGAGAGTCTATTCAGTGAGAGAGATGTATTACATATGTGAGTATTTTTATGGTTAAACTGACTAGGCCTCATTCCCTTCTCGCTTATAGTACTGTAACTCAGGAGTGACTTCATCATAGTCAATGGACTTACATCGGTGTAAAGCTAGGGGGAGAGAAGAATCAGGCCCACTATTTGGATATTAGGGTATGTGGTGGAAGGATGCTGTGCAAAAGTATTCTTTGTTATTGTCCAGTTGCTTCCTTAATGGTGAATACTACAAGCATAAAGACCAAAATGAGCTTCTAAAAATGTGCAGTTCACTGGCAGTTACCGGACAGAAGGACTGTCTGTGGCTGGTATGTTCAGACAAGTATTCAAGATCTGACATTGCTATTAGCGACTAAACCATCATGTCCATGACATTGTGTGCGATGTCATGCATGTGATGGGTTACTTACTTATAACAAGCCAAAAAGTACTAACTGCCAACCGGTCTGAAAGCAGCACTAGCAGCTACTGATTTTCAACAATCATACAGTGGTCTCCCCTTGGGTGCCCACTCCTGCAGCTATTAACAGACAGGGGAGAGACAAAGCAGAAGGAACTTGGAGAGGAAGGAGGGCAATGCTTTCAAATTCAGCTTTGTACATGTGCTTACAAACTATGAAATGAATGCACTGATATTTATATTAAATGTACTTCTGAAAATAATAAACATATATTTGACAAAGAGCTGTGTGTTTCAGGGATCACTGTTTGTTTCTTGTTTTCAAAACCTCCACTTCCAAGATGGCCTTAAAAAGAGTACTCACTTCTTAAAGAGCTCAAACCTGCTCCTGCTAGAGTCAATGACAAAAAAATTCATTGCCTTTAATAGGGGAAGAACTGGGCCTGACATTTCCGAATGTTGCCAGCATCTTAGCTGTTTGATTTCCTTAAGATCACCATTATATAGTAGAACAATACTGTGGGGCCTGATCAAATTAGCAAAACTTCCACTGAAGTATTGAAATCAATGAAAGTTTTGTCTGAATAAGCAGTGCATTGGGACCATGATTATACAACTTGGTTAAACAGAAAAAACTTAACTTTTATTTTGGTAATACTGAAAACAAAGCCATGCTTGATCAATAGAACATTGCTCTAGGACAGCTGTTCTCAAACTATGGGTCAGGATCCCAAAGTGGGTCACAACCCCATTTTAATGGCTTAGACTTGCTGGGGCCAAAGCCCAAGGGCCTCAGCCCTGGGCAACAGCACTCAGATTACAGGCCCCCTACTTGGGTCTGAAGACCTTGGGCTTCAGTTTTGCCTCTCCTCCCGCACCCATGGCAGTGGGGCTCAGGCTTCGGTCCCCCTCCTGGGGTTGTGTAGTAATTTTTGTTGTCAGAAGGGGGTCAGAGTGCAATGAAGTTTGAGAACCTCTGCACTGAGTTGTAAACTATCTTTTTTTCCAGGCCCCATTGTTCTAATTTTCAGTAGCTCAAAAGTGCAGAGTAAATGTTTATTCCTTTATTAGGGTGACCAGATGTCCCGATTTTATAGGGACAGTCCCGATTTTTGGGTCTTTTTCTTATACAGGCTCCTATCACCCGCCACCCCCTGTCCCAATTTTTCACATTTGCTGTCTGGTCACCCTATCCTTTATTTAATATTTAGTGGAAATTTCTATATTAATTTTTATTATAGAAATTTCCACTAAATATTATTATTCCACTAAATATATTAGGAATATAAACAATTTTTAAATTTTTATGTATTTTTGTTAACCACCCAGAGCTTCTGGATTTATCTCAAGTATTCCATTCTACTGAAACAAACAGTTAAACTAGCCTAATTATATGGTGAAAAAAATCTTTACAACTCTATTTAATTTTAAATTACTCTGAAAAATGAAGCCTTAGGTCCAGTAGGAAATTTGGTATTACTTCCAGCTGAAATAACTTTGAAGCGGGAATATATGGATCTGAAAGAAGAATCTGTCCATGTCTACAGGGGTAAATTGTAACAGGCAATGTAATTACTTTTGTTACAATAGTCAAACTGAAACGTGTGTGGGGGGGGGGAGGGATGTATATGAGACAGCCACCTTCTTGGCCAACACACTGGGAATTGAATCAGAGACCTCCAGAGTTAAAAAGCATGAGCTGCTACAGCTTGAGCTAAAGAGGCAAACCCCCTTAGCTGGGGGCTATAACAGCTCATATCCTCTGGGAACTGGCACAGAGTGGGACCTGTAAAGCGCACTCACCAATGGGTTATATGGGTATTTCCCACCAGTGATAAATAATTTTGGTGTAATTTCTCCAAGGAGACTTTATAATTTCAGAATGCTTCCTTGGAGAAGACATTTATTTATAATTTCATTAGCAGCACTGCAGGTATTGACTATAGCTCTGTCTTCAAATAATTTGCTTTCTAAATATGTACAAAACACTGTAATTAAAACACAGCTCCTTCTGTTAGGATCTATTAATGCTATCCTGCAGCTACTGTATAACTCTGCACCGCAAGTACTTTGTTTTATTCAAAGTTATGGTAATAGCTTTAGAGAAAAACTTTGATAGTTAAATTAGAATGTTCCGCCTGAAAGGTTCCAAGATGCTCAGCTGACAAAAATAAAAATCAAGCTCTTATTAGACTTGTTGTGCAGTATGCACTCAAAGGCATTATGGACCTGATCCTATTCCTACTGAAGTAAATAGCAACACTCTGGATCTTTATAGCACATGACTTACATGAGGTTATATTCATTATGATGCCAACAGTGATGTCATTGTCCAGACTAAGTTATTGCCAAGCAGTAGGTAACAGGTTATTGGGTGCTTTTAAGCAGGGAACTGGAGAGTTCAGGAGTTGGTAATGGGAGGAGATGTGGAGCAGTTCCCCGCTATAGCCCCCATTCAGCAAAAGCACTTAAGTATACACTGAATTGTAAGTATGCAGGTAGTCCTAGTGACAGCATGTGAGAATGTGGCTAATGGCTTTGCTGCATCAGGACCTCAAGTCATCCATCCAAATTCAGCCCAGCTCAGAGGAGTCCGAAAGCCGCCATCATCTTACAGGTGTTGGTGGGATGAGGGGAGGGTTTGTCTGTGTGAAATGGCTTGGTGGCCTCTGTCCAGTTCACTGGGGACAAGTATTCACAAAACAATCATAAATGTAACTGGCATCCTTGGGGGTGGTCTCAGCAGGAAGTGCAAGGATGAATGATTACAGAGACTGAAATGTTCTCATCATTAGAAGTAGTTCTCTTCAGCACTGGGTTGTCACCCTGATGGACTAATAAAGTAAGTGTGCACTGCAACTGCCTATGCTGTACTGGGCCAGGGTGTGTAGAGCAGTAGTGTCTTTGTTTTCCTGCGCTGTCGATCAGCCTCTCTCAGAGTCACTAAAAGAAAGACCACCACCATGGGCTTGGGAGGCTTTTCAGAGCAAAACAATGCAGTCAATACCAACAGCAATCTAAATAGCACACTCCCAGTGATTTCCCATCAGAATTGGGTGAAGTTTCATGAAGAGGCATACAAAGTAGCAAATGTGAATGTTTCCAGAGGAGCTCTGTGCACAACCAGAATCTGTACAATGTACAACTGAAATAGCTTTGTTCTGAATATTCAAAATTTAATCAAGCTACATGTGGTGCAGTGGCACTCAGACTATATATTTTAGTTTTAATCATTGTACTAATATTGCACAAATGTACACTAACTGAGGAAATAAATTATTATTAGGGTTTAAGATACAATTCACTTGGGGGCCATGGAACATGACACAGTGAGCTCCCAACTTCTCTGGGGCAATCCACCCTCCTCCTCCTGCATCCACCCCTGGGTGACCACCCTTTCCCCTCCCTAAGTCGAAATCACATACAGACTACAGTGACCAGCTGAGAGTCAGAGCCAATTGTTGGGAACCCTGAGAACAGAAGAAGATCCCTTCTGACTTAGACTGTGCCATTCCATCATTTGTGGATTCCTGCAGCATGGACCTAGAGACAGCAATAAGGGTAGCTACCCACAATTGCTCTTCCTTCCCTACTTATCTTTCTGCAAGGCCACACATAATTCAACCTTCAGATACGTTCAGGATGCAAACTATGCATCTGGGGATGTTGCTTTACCTGGATGCACTTAAGATTAGGGTAATGGTTTTAGGATTCATTATTTGAAAATGGTTTGAAATAGCGGGAAAGGAAACTCTAGCAGAAAATTCCCCCTGTGTAGGAACTCTGACATTACAAGACATACATGTAATCATAAGACAAAGAAGATCTCTGATCCAGAAGCCTGCTGAGACCATGCATCCTACACAATCTCAGAGACTCACAGAACTACCTGAAGGATGCACGCTACTTCATGGAATATAAACTGCAAACATTCCATGCCCTCTTTGTTGGGGATGTTTCTCATGTGGGGTTGCCATTTATAATATTTTTGTACCCATTTAAGGATTTGGATGCTGAAAGTATCTGGGAGAGCAATGACATGCTGTCTATCCCCCGTTAACCCCCAGAAAATAATTATTACATATATACACACATGCACACATTTAGCTAGTGTTCTGTTCAGTGCCTAGTAATGAATGGCACTGGTTCAAGCACATAAATGTTTACTTTATACTTAGAACATATCAGAAAGAAAAGAACAACCTAAATTATATCTGGTTTCCTTTTGTGTCCATTCCCCCGCCACCATGGTCTCTCCCCAAACCTCTTTGTCTCCCCTTCCTTCCTCCTGAACTTCATAATGCAACAAGTGTGTTGGTTCTACTGGCACCATGTGGTCCCAACAGATGAGGAGGGGAACATCCCCAGCAATGCCTCATCTCACTTTCCACCACTTCCCAGCTCCTTGGAGGTCTGGTTGTTGTGTTCTCTGCCAGGTTATCAAACTAACTACGTTAGGTGTCTGAGACCCTCTGTCCCTATACTCTCCCCATGGGCTTTTATGTAAGAAAGTTTAAGCCTGGTTGAAAAAGGCCATTGTCACCATAGCATTTATATAGTAAACTCATTTAACTGTAGAAGAGTCTCACAAGTTGGAACAGGACTGGATTGGTAGAGCTCTGTCTGCTGTCACATCTCAAAATCTAGAGGAGGCTCTGTGCTGTTCCACAGAAAACTAACAGTAAATGTTATTGCTGTTATCTTTGATACTCAGGGTAGATTTCTCATACTCAGAACCACTGTAAATCAGTCTGAAATGATCCTGGCTAACTGTAGCAATACGACGATTCACCGGTGCAGCACCTCCTGCTGGTCGTCTTGGGAATTAGCTCTTTCCAGCCTTTGGAGTGCCCTCTGCTGGCCGATGTCTCGCTGCCTCAGACCCCCATATCCCTCCCAGACCCTAGTGCCCCTTTTGTCAGGGTTCTGCCCACCACAGTACCCCCATATGCTGTGTCTCCCCTCCCAGGGGGAACCCACAACCTCTAAACCCACCTTGCCTCAGTGACTACTGCCAGTTGTCATCTAGCCCCCGCTCACTGGGGCAAACTGCAGTCGGTAATGGCCACTCATCATTGGCAAGGGGTTAGGACCTGCTGCCTTTGCCTATCCCCAGGCTGCACCTCTGTAGCCCCAGTACCTTTGTAGGCCTTCACCAAGGCCAGCAGTCT